TGTAACAAGAGCCATATAAATTAACAGAATTAGGTACTCTTTGCAAAAACAAAAAAGAAATTCCCACAGAGATGTTGGCAATAAAAGATCGAAATGTAAATTCTTCAATGTTCTGTTTTGATCAGAAGAAAACTTTTTTATCTTACGTCCCTAAAAAATAGAAGTTAGTTTTACTGCTTTCAACTTTGCATGAAACGGCAGAAGTATCAGAAGAAACAGGTAAGCCTCTAATTATAACAAATTTCAATAACACAAAATCAGGCGTAAACACTTTTGACCAAATGTGTTCCAACATGAGCTGTAACAGTATTAATTCCTATGTCATTTACACATACAACACATTAAAACGAGGTAAAAAGCTTGTCTTTAGGTACCAGTATATGGTTGATTTGAGCCAGTCGCTAGCCGAACCATTCAAAGATACCTTCTGCAGAAGAAGTTGTCACATATCAAGAAAGAAAAAGAAAAATTTGCTTTTATTGCCCAAGGCAAAAACGGCGACTGACAACTACATGATATTGCCAAGTATACAAGCATGCGATATGCGGTAAGCATCGTGGAAAAATTTTCACCGAGTGTTTAAAACATTAACTAATTCTATTTTTTACTCGTTTAAAATATGCGATTATAGTGATAAAAACTCTCCTGTACAAGGCACCTTTTATAGGTAGTAAAATTTACGATAGTCCGGTAATCACGTGCGGCTAAACAAGTCCGGTAATCTAGGGTTAAGAATAAAATATATTGGGACATAATAAAGGAAGTAAAAATAATAAAAATCAATAAAGAAACGCGATTTGGTGGATTCACACACATTAATCAGTATGTGTTCCTCCCTTAGACCATAAAAACTGATAGACGCGCCGTAATGCTATTCTCTCGTCTCGAGGAGTGAAGCCAACATAAAACGATTTACACAGCTGTGGGTGACGTCAGTTTGAGGCAGAAACGGTAGAGATTAGTAGTGTTTATACGCATTGTAAACGTTTTAAAGTGTTTAAATTTAAAATTTTTCCAATACATTAATATTATAATTATGGTGGCATCTTGCAGTGCATTTAATTGTACGCAGCGACAAAAAAAGAGATAGATATATCATTTCACGGGTAAGTAAATTCACAAATTAAACTTGAAAAACATACCAGAAATTTAGCACCTATTATTTTATTTTTTGTTCCCTTATATATATAATTTTCATTTTATAATTAGATTGAAAAGAAGCAGTGAATGTATTAAAACAAAAAGTAGTTGAACTTAGAAATAAAGGAAAATCATGTATTTGTGCTCTGATGGTCGATGAAATGTCTATACACCAGAAAATAGAATGGGATGGTGAAAAGTTTTTAGGGTAAGTGTAGCTTAATATTTATTAGCAATTAAAAAAGTATCATAACATTATATTTTCTATTTAAATAATTGAAATCATTAATTTTAGGTATGTTGACATAGGAAGTAAACCTCAAAGTAATTCTTCCGAAATTAAAGCAAAAGAAGCAATTGTATTCTTAATTAATTGTTTAAATGATTCATGGAAGCTGCCGATAGGATAATTTTTAATCGCTGGGTTATCAAGTGTTCAAAAAAGTAATCTAATAAAAATGTGCTTAAAAATAATGCATGAAGCTGATGTCACAATTACCAGTCTAACATTTAATGGTGCAGCATCAAATATTAGCATGGTTAAACAACTTGGAGTTGATTTATCGATTAATTCCAATAAAGTATATTTTCTACATCCAGCAACAAATCAACCAATATATGTAATGTTTGACCCTCCACATATGTTGAAACTTATTCGTAATACTTTAGGTTATTACCAAATTTTTTTTGACGGGAATAATAAAGCAATTAAATGGGAATATTTACAAAAATTAGTAGACATTCAAGAGAAGGAAGGCCTTCAACTTGCAACTAGGATAACGCGAAGGCATTTAAATTGGTATAAGGAAAAAATGAAAGTGAAATTAGCTGCCCAAACGTTCAGCCAAAAAGTTGCTAAGGCAATACATTATTTGAGAAATAAAAGCTCAAAAGAATTTGTACATAGCGAAGCTACTCAAAATTTTATTGAACATATCAATGATATTTTAATATTTTAAATAGACGAAATTTATTGATAAAACACCTAAAATCTAGTTTACAGCATCATAATAAACAAGCGATTTTTCAAAAAAATGAAGAATCTATAAAATATCTTAGTTCACTTAAGTGTTCCAAAAATGGTGAACCCCTATATCTAAGCCAAAGAAAGACGGGTTTTATTGGTATGATCATTAGTTTAAAATCACTAATGGGAATTTGGAAAAATTACGTGGAGGATATGGATGCAGGTCTGAAGTATCTTTCGGCCTTTTCTTTTAGTTCTATTAGGAGTCATGGAGGTTACAACAACAACCTACGGCAAAACAATTTAAAGCTGCATATAAAAGACTGTTAATGCACACAAGTGTTACAGGATCTACCCAGGCTAATTGTATAGAACAGGCACCTTCCATAATATTAGCAATGAGTACAACAAATACTGTGAAAATGAAAACTGTTGATCATAAACTCATTGACAACTTTATAACTGATGAAAATAATAGGGAAACAATAACTAATAACCAGGATCAGGATTATACTGTAAATATTTTAAGTTTTTCAAGAACATTGTCATCTTATGTTTGTGATGTTGTTGACTATATCGCTGGGTTTGTCGTTAAGAAAGTTAAGAAAACATTAGATTGTGACATATGTTTGTGTGCAATTGAATGTGATAATTTACAATCTCCATTCATAAGACACAAAAATTATAGCATGTCAAAAGAGTTTTTAATTCAACCTTTTAAAGACGTCATTCATATTTGCAAAATTGCTGAAAGCGAAATTAAATTTATGTACAATTTAAAAAAATTAAACGATTCCAAAATAATGACAAAATTGATCTTAAATGTCATGAGTAACGTGCATGGTTCTGTGTTTAACGCATACAAAGTCCATATGTTTGATCATGAATTTGAAACAAACCATTTGTTTAATCTAATAAAGATAATTTGTTTCCATTATTGCAACATTAGATTGTACCACGAAGGTGAAAAACTAAATAATGTAATAAGAGTTAGAAGTAAGTTAACAAAAGCTATTTTGTTTTGTGGTCAATAAATTAATAGATTTCCTACATATTTTTTTACCTATCCTGAAACTTCCACCCAAAAGAAAATTATTCTCCTTTAAATTTATTTCTGCATATTAAACAAGAAGTGATATATCAACGATATATATAATAATATATGTAGGTATCTACTTTCAAATAAAACATTTATTTTTACAATTTAAGGCAAAAATATTTATTAATTATTTTGCTAAATAATTTATCTTCCACACTTTTTACAAAATATTGAAGTTATATTAAATTTAATCTAAAATTGGGTAATTATATTAGTGCTTTGCTAAGAATCCAAGCGGGCTCTTGCCTCATTGTGACGTCACTTTCGCGGAAGATCTTTGCTCAACGGTTCGGTACAAGGCGTGTCTATCAGTTTTTATGGTCTAAGGTTCCTCCACCAAAATCGGGGTTCATTCTGTTCATTTTTGCCCGATTGGCTCGACAGTAGCAAAGATACATGTCTGAAGTCCTTTTGGTATGCTACCATATTTAATATTTCTTTGTTGTCGAATTCTATTCGTTATATCCTGTCAAATCCTTAAACGTCACGATCCAACTAGCCGTTTTACAACTACTACAAAAAGCGCCAAAAATTAGTAGAATGAACATTACATTTTGGTGGAGGCGCCGATGCTAAATCTTCTAGACTCAAAATTCGACTAAATCGCAGATTTTGAGGCGGTAGGCACATAGCTTATTTACTCCCGTGAAAATTTAAGTCACCGAGCTCCTCAAATATGCAAGGGAATGCATAGTACGGTAAATTTACGTAACTATTCAACAAATAGGGATTAAAAAGAGAAGGCTCAGAGAATGGACTGGGGCTTTCCAATTCATAAAAGCTTATAAATTAAAACGCTGGGAAATACCGCAAGGAGTATATTAGCGAGAGTGTCAAACAGCAAGGTCAATAATAGATCAGATATTCATAACCGGCAAATTTCTTGTAAAGAGTAACAAATACAGATTTCTGTAGAAAGGATATCTTCGATTTCTTAAGAAATAGAAATAAAACACTAACATGGTTCACGCAACTTTATTTCGACTTCCTCTCTTACAGTGTTCTTGTCGTATGTCCTTTGTCATCCTAGTGCATAAAGTATTTATAGATTACAAACAGGTATGTGACAATGTAGTGTCTCCATAGCATTTAAAATCAAATCTTAGAAATACTAAAATTAGACGAGCTCTCAGGCAAGCAGATTCCTCATTACGCATTGTAGATAACTCAAAAAAGATTGTTAAATTACCTAGCAGCTCTGATGGTACTTTCTTTAATAAGCTAAGAACACAGTTGCTTACCCATGATGGCAAAGTTAGTATACTCAATAAAAAAAAAACAGGATTGAAACGTAATTTCAATATCATAGCCGAAAAATCTAAGTAAACTAGACTCGTTAGTAATGAGATGAAACCACCCGACACTACCCATGGCTGTTGTAACCGACGAAGAAACATTACTAGTTAAAGTCAGCCAGCTCTACGGCGGGACAGGTCTTGTAATAGAAGTGACAAATATAATGACACCAAATTTAGGACCAAGAGATAGTGGGAAGAGCATGATTCAGAAGCCCTTGACTGTATATTCAGCAAGCAGCTAAATATCTACATTTCAAATATACCTAACTGTAAAGGCTGAATAATCAATTAACTGTACGCATATAAAAAAATCATACTTTTTTTATAACGATGTAGAATTTAAAATGATAATAGTTTTTAATGCCAATTACTTAATAAGACTGTGTCCTATTTTATATATAACTTTAAACATTCACATGTAAAATTTTAACTTTTGTTATGGCTATAATAAATATCTTAATTCGTAAAAGCTAGGCAAGTGAATTATAGTAAATATTTACAATTCTGCATGATCTAAACTGTTGGGTTGGTAAAAGAAATCAGTACCTATTCTAACATCTCTCTTTGGAAACACATGATCATAGTATTTTTCGTGCTCAAATTGCAATGGTTTCGGCCTAGCTTTTTCTTTTTTATGATATTTTTTATGCTCAGACTTCCTCGTATATTTATTATCGTTTGGTAGCGAGTACCGATGTGAGTTAATACCAGCAGTGGTAGTGGCACCGTATGACCAATTGTCTTTTGATTTATGATTCGAGTATCTACTAAAACTATGGTATTTGTCTTGTTGGTAATTTTCCGTATCATTGTCGGATTCAAAGAAGTCGGCCGACAAGATACGAGTATTTGTATGTGTGTCCATCATACTAGAATAGAAGTTTTCTGCCTTTTGTTTCGACCCTCCTAAGCTACTTCTACCATTGAATGTAAGTGTAGTGGGTTGTTGATGCTATATGTACAGCAGTATGTTAGATTTGTTAGTATATACCTGGTCATTAAAAACGAACAATTTTTACAATTTTTATTAATATCTTTTTTGTAAAATGTGTATTGATAGAGTTTGTTCAAGTGAGATGATTTTTAAAATTTTACAATATAACTTGAAATTCTTAAAATATTTTAATTATCAATTATGTTAAATCCGTGTATACCTATCTTCTTTTATTGCGATAGTGGAAAATTTTGTTGTGCTACTAATAAGAGCAAAAATAGAATCAGAATAAATAATCACCGGCTAAGACAAAATGTATTTTAAAATATTAATCAATTATTAAAAGATGTATTTAAGAAAAAGCAATTGTAGAAACAAGGTATTATAATGAATAATACTTAATGATATCATAACTTTTATAACAGTGCTTAGTTGCATTCTATGTTGTATTATATTCGGTTAATATTAATTCTTGTAAAAAAATGATACAAGAATATATCGATATGGTAAAAACCATGTACGATAGCCGGTTAAGGATCAAATTCTAATACCTTTATTACTAGCGGACCAGGTAAGCTACAATATCCTTTACGATATCCTTATTTTTAATAATTTAATATCATGCTGTGTTAGTCAGTACAGCTCAACAAGTTTTCGTTTTCATACTTGATTGCAATATTTGATTGCAATACTATTGCATTAGTATGGAATGTATCTTATTTATAAAGTGAATTTATAAACAAAAATGTTTTAATGATTTTTAATTAATCTATTTTCGGGACACATAATGTAGGTTTATCAAATAATTAAAGTTACGCCTTTATATTTTATTTTAAAAGAACACATAATTATTGGAAAAAAAGTTCCTTAAAACGTACCAAACAATTCCATATACTATAACTTGATTATTTAGGCATAAGCGATTATTATTATGCAAATATGCATAAAAAAATTAAAACTGGTTACACCTAAATTAGGTAATCATTACTAAGGACTCAATACAACTTTGTAAATGTAATATTAGACACTAAATTTGTGCGATAGAGTTAGCTATATTTTTGTTTTTTTGTTGATCCTGTTGTAGGAGACTTTGAATTTTTCAGGATGTCGTAGTTATATTTATATCGGTGTTTAAATGAAGTAAAATGAATAAATTTGGAAAACAATAAACAAATCGTCAAAATGTAAACTGTTATCTTTAGAAGAATAGCGTTTCGTTCTAAAACTGGTAAGTTATTTTAATAAAAAAAAAATAAATAACACCGGTCCATTGACTCTATTGTGCCGCTTAAAGACGCACATATGTTGCTTACAATATCTTCTAGAGGACATTCCGAAAAACTAATAGCATCAGTAAGAACTTGATAATTAATATTTTCTTTTCGGATATTAGAAACCATCACGGCAATCGCCTATTTGGTTCTCGTTTTTTTTTTATACTTTTCCTTTTAGAATTAATTGCATCAACCCATATTCCTGCTATTCCTTATAATGCGATCAAGGTATTTGATTTTGGCTGTTTTTTTCTTTCCTTGTTGCATTATTAATAAATTTTCTTGCTTAGTAATGTGGTATATAAAATATCTTTAAAGTTCGACGATAAAGCCACATTTCAAAATCCTCAATTTTTTTCAGGTAGCATTTGTGAGAGTCCACGACTGAACTCCGTACAGCAGTATAGGAAAGATGTACCCTCGAAGTTATCTGATTTTTATGGGTACTAATAAATCATGGCATTTTAATAGCTTAGCCATTTTTTTAAGTTCAGATCTTGCTTTCTCTATTATAAATTTTATTTCTAGGAAATGGTTTCAATTTTCATTGACGTTCGTACCAAGGCAGGTGTATGTTTTTACTCTTTCTATTGGTTGACCACTCACACTGATTCTTTTAATTTGCTGTTCTTTCTTAGAGATCATCATAAACTTTGTTTTCTTAATGTTTAGTGAAATTCAATATCTCTGACTCTCTTTTATTATTCTATTCATTAATTCCTGTAGTGCTTTATAACTGTCAGCGAATATCACCGTATCAACCGCTGGTCCGATGTTACTGATTTATTCTTCGTTCATTCAAATTCTGGCTTCAACATCCTCTACTGCTTCTTAATTTCCTTAGAGTATGAGTTGAACAGTAAGAGTGACAGTATACATCCCTGTCGGACCAATGTTTGAGTTTGATATCATCGGATTCTTATGCCTCTTCACGGATAGACGCTGTTTGACTCCAGTAAAGATTGCCAATCATTCTTAGATCACCGGTGTTTATTTCAATATTTGTTAATATTAACATTTACGCGTCCACTATTGGACATAGGTCTTCAATTATCTAATCTTATCCATTCCAATAAGGTCTTATCTAATTACTACTAACACGCTCTAGGTCAACAGTGAATCTGGTTAGTGGGTGTCCGCTGCTCCGTAGTGCTTCTTGTCTTGGACCTCACTCGACAATTTGTTTTGTTTATCGGCGGTTGTCTAATAATCTAACAACGTGTTTCCAATTCCATTTTAGCAGTACGATTTTTTCGATAGTATCTGTTGTTTTTGTTCTCCGACATACTTGGTCTTCGTTTGGGTTTCGGTCTCTCAGAGACATCCAACATCTGGCGCTCCATAGCCCTCTGATTCATGCGAATTCTGTTTACTACCTTTTTGTGTTAATGTATCCGCTCCATAAGTAAATACATATAACCCACACTGGTCAAATATTTTCCTTTTGAGGTATATGGGTAGTTTAGTTTACCAACTGCTGCCCTTTTTGTACAATTACTTATGAAAATATTGTTCCTAAAAGGTTTAATTTTTTAGCCACTATATGAAAAACATTTAAGTTCAAGACCACTATATATATATATATATATATATATATATATATATATATACGAAATTCTTCTGAAACTTGAAAAGATCGTATAAACCTATATGGCTATAAGGAGCATCAGAAAAGGCGAAGAAAATACTGATAAACGCTTTGTTGTTTTAAATGCTGGAACCAATAATAAAGTTGATAAAGATGCTAAATTGCTATATTTTGCCAAATCAAATAATGTAGACTATCACGACTCAATCGATTTTAAAAAATAATTCTGCTAAATGCTTGTATCAATGCTGGAGAAAAAGTCTTTATTTATTATGGATATTACCATAGTTTCTTGACAGAAAAATTGCTTAAACATTTTTAGATATAACCTCAGTTAAAAAAATAGTCACAAGTAAGAAATAAATTTTTTAAAAAAGGTTCTTCCCAAAAACAAAGCTATTCTATAAGTCTTTGTCGTATAAAAAAGCCACAAAACGTAAAGTACGTTATAGACGTAACTACTGCATGGGCACGAGCATCAGGTGTTACGACTATCTTCATATCACTATCAGTACAATCGGATAGAGTCGGTCTGAGGAAGATGTATTTGTCACTTTGGAGAAAATGGACGTGAAAGCAGTTAAACTGTATGGATCGATATTCTAAGTGAATCATCACCTGAAGTTTGAAATTGTGTAAACCACATACACGATGAAGAAAAACTGATACAAGATGATTGGACAAAGTTTATCACATACAACGAAAAAACACTCGTTATGGATCTAGCAGATAATTAACATGAGACCTAATTCAATTAAGAGGAAAACGAGTTTTTATTTTTAAACGAACATATAACCAAATTATATCTTGTGTTACTTAATAATTATTGAGTTTGTAATGATAAAGGTTCTAAATTGTAAAATCTTCTTCCAATTTTAAACCCAATTTTTATCTAAATAATAGTTGTAGGTAATTTGTTTTTCTATTTTTTATGTTTTTTTAATTCTTCCTATAAAGAGAGAAGATTTTTTCAAATGTTCTTTCAAAGATTTCCCATAACAATTTTGACCTACCACTACTAGTATTTTTGTCAGATTAACTATTTAGTCAGCACTGTTTTTTTCTGCCTTACATTTTTGGATATAAATATCTATTATTTGTACGTATTTATAATTAAATTGTAATCAATTAATTTTAATTTTTAACATATATTTGTCTCCGCCATTGGTTACTTGATTGAGAGTTTCATCCTACTTCAGTGACTTTAGATACTTTACGGACTTATTGCTTGAAATATGAATATTTACTAACGATACTTAGATGCAGCTCGTGTTTTTTGTGATATGTATAAAAGGATTCAATATCTTTACAGAATTATTCCATTTTTGTCTACTTAATTGTAGCTTGAGGAAACCTTTCGTATGTTAGACAAATATATATCTAACTGTATGGAGTCTACATAGCTGTACCTGTGCTACAGAACTTATAACTGAGTGCTTTTAACATATAACAACCGCCCTAAACTACGATTTATTGTTTAGATCAAGGATTAAGGTATTTTTTTCGGATTTATATACTTTGTTACTAAACTGGTGATGATTTACACACACTATAAAAATACATTTAAACTTTCGTTAAACAATTTTGTAATTATTCAGGCTTCTATAGTTCTAAATTGTTTTTGTTCGTTTTTAAGTCGACCAGGTGATAAATATACAAGTTGTGTAAAAATCTAAACTAAAATTACAATTTATTTTTTTAGTGCTTCCCCGAGTTATCGAGTTGCAACGAAAAACAAATAGTGATAAAACGTGATTATTATGTGTTTGTTAAATGCGATGTGATTGGCTGATACTGCTGATTCCTTGGCGTCTCAGATCATTTAAAATCAAGTAAGATGGTTTGAGAATGTGCTCAGGACAGGAGTCTGCAGAGTGTTGAAAAGAGTGTCAGTGTATGATTACGGTGTATGTACAGGAGGGATATATTAGTTATGGTTTAAGAAAATTTTTTGGCGCTTGTAGTATTTATAAATAATTAGATATTTTTTAAGCTGAATAATTTTATAGATTTAGAAGTTATGTTGAAAAATACTTCATATGGAGTATACGGCATGTATAGGAACAAGT